AACCCTTTTCGCCACGTGACCAAACCCTTTACCCAATCACCGCCGATCATTATATTATGGACCCCACATTTAACTTGCGCCCGTCCACCGCAAGTTGAACATGTTGGGACCCACCCATTGCAATGGAGCAAGTTGTTTTGGCGAAGCGGCAAGCCTCGCTGGCTCGTGGCTTTCAACAACCATAATAAAATAATAATATACATGTGAGTGATACTATGTGTCTCGTGGCATGATTGATCATGCTCTCTCTTTAATAAAGTTTTTATAATTTTGGACCTTCCGGTGCAAAGCTGGGGGTGCTGCTGACTGCTGCTTAATATCAAGATAATGTTAAAACATGGGATTTGCAAAAATATTATATGTCTCGTGTAGAAATTGTTTTGGGCCGTTCAATTTGAATTGTATATAATAATATATGTGCTGGTACGCATAAGCTCTAGTTAAAAATATGGCAGCAATTATTGGTTTTTTAACCCGAGACCACACTCGAATTCGAACTTGAGACCATTTTGCGTCATGTTGTTTCTCCTCCTTTATAATTATGTACGGAGGAACTTTAGATAATCTTGTACGCTCTTTATTTGTATGAGCGTAGACAATCGTGAAAGATGACCTTTTGAAGTACCAAAATCATCTCCCTTGTATACATTAACAAGCTTCGAAACATTCTGAGTATATCTGATGCTCTTAATCATTGGGTTTAATTTGTCCCTTCCTTGGAACAGTGAGAGCAAACTGTACTTTACAGCGATTGAGTTTTGGTCCCTAAAAGTTGCTTACAATATGCATGTGTGTGACTAAGTAGGTGCTCTTGTTGGTGCAAACGTGCAGCTACCTCACAACTTCATTGTCTTTATGTATGCCCATTCATTTGGTATGAAAAAAATGTGGAATTTCAGCATAAACGTGACCAAGTTGAACTTTTTTTGGGGACGAAGAAACAAAAATACAATCAAGATTCCTTAAGATTCTTATATTCCTGCGATTATATGTAAATATTAAAGAGTTTCAGTTAAGGGATTCCTCAAATAAGCTTATTTGAGGGAAACCCTTGTCGGGCTCACTATGCATTGTATTTCACTAATCCAAACAATCTATTTTATAGATATTCATTCAAGGATCATATCTACAAAAAAATCACTTGAATCCGATATCATTTGATCACTCAATTGAATTACTGAAATTTGAGTACTTTCTTGAAGCACCGTGTTTATTAATTTTGTATGACACAATTAGATGTCGAAAGGATTTCCGATTTGTCTAATTTTTTGCAAGGATGATCTATGAATATGGACTTAAAATATATAGATGATTTGGATCATTGAAAAAAAAATTGTTGTTGGCCCTAAAGGGTGTCTAATATAAATATATATATATATATATTAGCTTTAAGGAGATGGAAAGCATAAAATTAGCATACTAAATACAAATATTATGCACACATATACTTCTTTCAATTCAGAATCTTGCTTCACGATAGACGTGTTATACATGAAGAATCTGTAAGCCTTCCATGAGCATATTGAGCTTGAATATGCCTATATGCACAAATATACTTCTTTCAAATCAGAATCTTGCAAGAAACACACACGACTCTCTTAAGCAAGCAGAACAGTTGCCGGAAAGCAAAAATATAATGAAATTTGACTGTTGGTGGTGTGTGATTTTGACTAAACTATTTTTTTGAAAAGAAATTGTATGATTCCACTAACGATAATGACCCGTGATTTCAAAACCTTGATAGGGTTCTAGCTATCAAGTGGATGCTAAGAATCAGGTTAAGGGTTAATCCTTGTGGTTAGTTCGGATTTTCAATTTGATCCACGCGTTTTTTAATTGGTCAATTTAGCCCATGTGTTTACTATGTTAGTCGTTTTGACAATTTCCTTCTATTTTTGCCCCACACACGTGGTTCATATATAATAACTCACACATAGGCAAAATTGACCAAATTGGTCAAATTCAAGACTGGTGGACTAAAATAAAGATTCCAACAAAATACTAGAATATGAAAACCAAGTCATCGCCAATAAAGCGCCTTTTTGTGTGTGGAAATTTACATAAATATATATGAATGGAAAAATAGAAATGCTATGCTGCTAAAAAAATGCTATGTTTGTTTGTTTGTTTTAATTATATATATATATATATATTTTGTTCGAGATTTGGGGGTGGTTAAGTTGATCTTTACTGTACTCATCTCACATGCATGCTACTTGAGTCCCATATTTATGATAGTAAAAATTCAGTTTAATTTCGTTATATGCGATGGTAAGAGAGGACGAATAAAATCGACTACAATAACTTAAATGAAGAGAAAAATGTTCGTAGCCACATTTGATACAAACTCACCAAAAAAATACTAATAGATATCTTGAAATTCACCATTGAAGATGTCAAACCTGAAGATTCAGTAGTGGTAAATAAAACATAAGGAGACATGTATAATTAGTTATTTTTTTTTTTTTTTTTTTTTTTTTTTTTTTAATATTTTTAAAATATTAAATTGGGTTCTCTTAGGAAAAAGTGAAATTCTTTTGAGTTTATTATAATTAAAATAAATAAATAATTGAATATATATATATATAGTAACTGTAACGCGACCTTAAATAAAATAGAAAGGTCAGATATAGATATATTTAATTGGATTATAAGCATGATGCATGGAATCAAGAAATTCAATGTACTCATCTCTTTTACTAAACAGTGAATATAAAATTTTCCCATAACAAGTTTTATAGTTAAACATCTAATATAAAATTCTTCCATAACAAGTTTATATAAACAGTGAATATAATTTTTTTTTAAACTATGTGTTGTAAAGCTAAGTTTTTAGAGATATTTAATGATATACCCATTCTTAGTACTAATATTATAGATAAATCCTACACCATTGAATTCCTATAAACAAACCCAAAAAATGACAACTGTCCTTATTGAATTTAATATTTATTATTAAATTACTTTGATGCCCTATTAAGTGTTTTGAGTATTTTTATGAGATTTTAGGATTGAGTTTGTTTTAAGAAATTGATGACAGTTTTGTAATTTATAAAAAGTTAAAAACCTATTTGTTATGTTATAAATGGGCTTTGAGTGTGTTTCTAAAGTCCATTTCATATAGTGTATTTTTATAATTTGAATCCCTATATTGGGTATGATAGTGAATCTCTCAAGTTTGTATACATCGGTCACTCATACTACCAACAATATGTCATTCAATCAATTATCAAACTATATGTTTCACACTACCAACAATATGTCATTCAATCAATTATCAAACTGTATGTTTCACATTGTAGAATATATGTTTAATAGAAATGAGATCCGCATGTTGGTAGGCTCCATTTTTATTAGAGATGCGATTGTTCTAACATTACTCTTGATTGAAATCCTAATTTTCTTCTTCCTTCATCTAGTAGACCCACCAACCTACCGTTCAACAATATTCGAGGCAATTAGCGATTTGGGCACTAACTCGACCCAAATTGCAGGGTGCCCATGTTGCTAAATAATATATATTAAATTTCATTGTAGAAAATATCTTTTTTGAGATAAAGACAATATATTGCATTTATAATTCAAGTATAAAGGCCGTTAGCCACAAGAGTTGGTACAAATAGAGATAACCACTCCCTCCGTTTGGATGAAGGAATTGAAAATTACATATAATTCTAAAATGACTTAATTTAGATTTCCATCATTTCAATTTCTGACAATTGATGATTTTAGTATTTGAATTTATGTATGTTGAATTTGTAAATGGCAGTATGGAAATTGTGAAATAACGCCTATTTTAATAAATTTCGTGCTTAAGTTACCAAACAAGGGAATTGTTAATTTCTCCTTTTAAATTCCCGATTTTGAGCTAAATTTCGAATTATTTTCCTTCAACCAAACAAAGGGAGGTTATTACAAATATGAAAGTGTAGTAACCACAAATGGCTAATCCAAATACGGAAGACTCCACCGACAACATTAGGCGCACAAGTGTACCTTCACAAATAGCCATAGAGGACAAAGATTCGGAGAACTCCACCGGCAATATTAAGTTCACAAATGTACCTTCATAAATAGCCATAGAAATTCCGACAAATAGCAAATACCTATTTGCACATAGGTCATACAAATCTATTATTATAATTCAAATATCTTCATCTTAGATGTAAACAACCAGTTTTTTTTATTTTATAGAGTTGATGAATTAAAATATAATTTATGGCTCCAATTTGAAAAACCACTACTCCAGATGATTCAAGCCACGAGCCAACCATAGGAGGGACGGACGGCGGAAGCACACATCATCAATGAATGATTTCACATCCCACGAATTTATAACCCCACATGTAACTTTCAGAGGCCTCCAAAGTATCAAAAAGTGAAAAATATCTCGAGGGTTTTTTCTGTTTCAGTTTTGGCCAAACTCAGGGGCGTTTTGGTCGTCTTACAAAGCAGGTGCATTTTGGTCAATGTACTTGCACAGGAATCATTCTTCGGCTAACTTGTCTTGTGGGATGCTTTTTAGACTGCCCGACTGTCTCTGACCCATCCATTTTCCGTATTTGCCTCCAGTCACGGTTTCACTTCCTTTTGTGTTAAATGTGTTTGTTAAAAAAAAAAAAAAAAAAAAAAAAAAAAAAAAAAAAAAAAACTTGTTAACTTGTTAATGGAGTTATTGATTTTGTGGGTTAGGAACAGATTGAGAGAAATTAAGCTCTGCACTTGCTTGAAACCCTTTTTTGATTAACATTTCAGGCTGGGAAAAAAAATCTCTAGAGTTTTTGTTTTTCCTTTCTAAACCTTTGAAAGGGGCTGTTTAGTTTGTTTTCTTCATTTGGTATAAATAGATATTTGTATCAACCCTTTACACTCTCTCTGAAAATCAAATCTTTTTTCTTCAGCCACCTTATCTTCCTCACTTCCCTTATCTGTGTCTCTCTTCATGTTCTTCTCTTGAAAAAACCTACTTCTGGATTTTCTTGAAGGGACCTAAGAGAGACATGGATGCTGTTTTGCAGACCAAAGGGCTTCTCTCCCTGCCTTTAAACCCCAAGACCAGAGCGTTTCAATCTTCTCTGGGCTTAAAGCAAAGATCTTTCTCCACAAAACCCAAAATCCCAACTGGGTTATCTTTGTCGTCAAATGGGTTACAGAAATTTCAAGGCTTTGTCTCAAAGACTCATGGGTTTGGCACAAAAGAGAGGAACTTGTTCATCTGCAGGGCTGAAGCTGCTGCTGCTGCTGCTGATGGGCAGCCAGCATTTGGGGAAACTGAGCAGCCCAAGTTCTTCGGTATTGAGGCTGTAACCCTCAAGAAGATTGTTCCACTTGGGTTGATGTTCTTTTGTATCTTGTTCAATTACACAATCCTCAGGGACACAAAGGATGTGTTGGTTGTAACAGCTAAAGGGAGTAGTGCAGAGATTATACCCTTTTTAAAGACCTGGGTGAACCTGCCTATGGCTGTTGGCTTCATGCTGTTGTACACAAAATTGTCTAATGTGTTGTCTAAGAAGGCTCTCTTCTACACTGTTATGCTTCCATTTATCGCCTTTTTCGGGGCATTTGGATTTGTCTTGTATCCTCTCAGCAATTATATCCACCCAGAAGCGCTTGCTGATAGCCTGCTCAACACTCTTGGTCCAAGGTTCCTTGGTCCACTCGCAATCTTGAGGATATGGAGCTTTTGTTTGTTCTATGTCATGGCTGAATTGTGGGGGAGTGTGGTGGTTTCTGTGCTTTTCTGGGGTTTTGCCAATCAGGTAATTTCCTTGTCGTGTGATTCATGTCTGCATAATCGGGATTTGATTGCTTGCCAATCAGGAATATAATTTTAAAGATGAGTTGATGTTTATTTAATGATTTGATTCCTTGTGTACCCATACACGTTTTCTGGATTGGTTATCATTTTTTCCAGTCTCAGTTTCTTAACATATGGTTGGTACATATGTTGTTTGTTTTATAGATACTGTTTAAAACGAGGAGTTATTTAAAACCTATATATGTCTGTATACTGTGTCAGTTTATAAAAAATGGAAGTGAAATGTGTTTTGAGATTGGAATTGGAGGCTTGATTTTTCTCAGTTATCCGATTGTGAATGGTGCTCTGTTCATCCTTATTAATTAAACAGGAAAAAATTGATCTCGCTTTTTAGATGGCTTTCTCTTCTATTTGCCACAGCAGACTGGACAAGGATTAACTTTCGCCTTAAAAGGTGCTTGCTTTTGAAGCATGTGTTATATCTTGTGATATGAATGATTCATATCAAAACTTATTTTTCCTATTTGTAACGACCCCATTTGAGTTGAATCGTATGCCAAGATATGGATTCTTATAGAATACAAGAAATGATCGCTGAAGTTTTCATTAGTCTGAATTTAAGGTCTTCGCCTTAATGTTAGTGACTGGAACTTAAATAAATAATGTTGCATGGATTTTATGCAGATAACTACCGTTGACGAAGCAAAAAGATTCTACCCCCTTTTTGGACTGGGAGCGAATGTTGCTCTTATTTTCTCAGGCAGAACAGTGAAGTATTTCTCTAATTTGAGGAAAAATTTGGGTCCTGGAGTTGATGGTTGGGCCCTGTCCTTAAAGGGGATGATGAGCATTGTTGTGTTGATGGGGTTCACAATCTGTTTCCTGTACTGGTGGGTAAACAATTATGTTCCTCTTCCCACCCGAAGCAAGAAGAAGAAGGTAATCTTCCGCAACAAGACTATCTTGTTAATCGTATTTGAATTGTGTTGATACGTTAGCTGCCTGAATCTGTTCAATTTTGGGCCCTTCTGTTCATATTAGTCTGTTCTGTTTATCTGCATTACTTCTTATCATGGCACCATCTGTTAATACGTTGCTGGGAAGTTGAAAAAATAACATAATTTTGTTTACTATCTTATTGTGGTCACTGATCACTGGTCATTGTTGAAGCGACCTGAATCCCATACCAATATTTTTATAATTGGCCAATTTCGTATTCTCTTAAGTTTGGTTAACAGGGTGCTGAAATGAATTCGCAATGCTTGAAAGCTATGTTGGTCACTGGTCATATATATTGAAGAAAGCTTGTGATTTCCGGTTTATCACAAAATTATGAACTTTAGTTGAATATGATGGATGGCATCTTTTTTAACTTCTATTTACGTTGCAGGAGAAGCCCAAAATGGGGACAATGGAGAGCTTGAAATTTTTGGTGTCTTCAAGATACATCAGAGATCTTGCCACTTTGGTGGTTGCATATGGTATTAGCATCAACCTTGTGGAGGTTACATGGAAATCAAAGCTCAAAGCTCAGGTATGCCTTAGCTGGGTGACTTAATCTTTGTCTATGTTATGAATTACTAATTGATAATCCTCACTCTTCTTGTTCCACTGTGAGTTGTGCAGTTTCCAAGCCCGAATGAGTACTCTTCTTTTATGGGTGACTTCTCAACTGCCACTGGAATAGCAACTTTCACAATGATGTTGCTCAGTCAAGTTATATTCGAAAAATATGGATGGGGAGTTGCTGCGAAGATCACACCTACAGTTCTACTTCTGACTGGAGTTGGTTTCTTCTCTCTGATCTTGTTTGGGGGTCCACTTTCACCTGCTATTACGAGCCTTGGGATGACTCCACTTCTTGCAGCTGTATATGTGGGTGCTTTGCAAAACATTTTCAGCAAGAGTGCCAAGTACAGCTTGTTTGATCCATGCAAAGAAATGGCATACATTCCCTTGGATGAGGACACCAAGGTTTGGACTCATACTCACAACTCAGTGTTTTAGATTTTGGCTTAACCAGTAGTTTAGGGAGATTTTAATTAGGGACCCTCTTTAAAGGAGAGGTTGCAGTCATCTTGGAATCATATTTATCAGCAAAAGCCTCGAGTTTTCTAATTTGAGTTTCATTTTGAGCCCTTTCGTGTTTACGTTCCTTGTCAACTTCTTGCTGTAGGTTAAAGGAAAGGCAGCCATTGATGTTGTCTGCAACCCATTGGGGAAGTCTGGTGGTGCTCTGATTCAGCAGTTTATGATTTTGACCTTCGGGTCACTTGCAAACTCAACACCTTACCTTGGAGGTATACTTCTGCTGATTGTTCTTGCATGGCTGGGAGCAGCCAGGTCTCTAGACACCCAATTTACTGCATTGCGACGGGAAGAAGAGCTCGAGAAGGAGATGGAAAGAGCGGCAGTCAAGATCCCAGTAGTGGCTCAAGAGGGAAGTGGGAACGGTTCTCTTGCCAGCGATTCAGTGCTGAACCCAACAGCAGGAGACAGCGGTTCCTCTGGACCTCCCCGCAACATATAATGTTTCTGGTTTAATCGCCAGATGGGAAGACCAAATAGGGTTGATGAGAAGCAATATTGGTGAAGTCTTGGTGGTAGGATCTTAGTTTGCTTTAAAAATAAGCATGCTTATGACTTCTTCTAAGTCCAGTTTTTTCATAGATATTGAAATTACCTTCAGTTTAGTTAGTTTTCAGTTCCTATATTTTGTAGAATTAGATTGAATTTACACCAATGGAATAAACCTAGTTGATTCATTATTACAAATATATTCCTGTTGCAAATGGGACATAATGTGACATCAAATTTGGGCAGGAGTGAGAGGGGCAGATTTTGATTTAACAGACTAAATTTTCTCTTATAAATTTCTTTACTACAAATCTCTCAGGAAAAATTACATTTTTTTTCCTTTCTATCAAAGAGAGATTTAAATTTTGGAATTTCTTTCGACATTAAAAAGGAAAATACCACCAGACTAGGCTAGACTAAATTAGCTAATTAGCATTTGATATTTTGCCCCTCACCGACCCCCGGCCTGCTACGCTGGAAGGTGATAACAGCGTCAAATTTTATTAATGAAATAATTTATAATAATAGAAAAAATCTAGGGTGTTGGGATTTTAGTCATTTTCAAATTATTATTTTTTAAATAAAAAGGTATGGTGATGACTTGCGGGACTTGGACTGCTCGAATCCATACAAAATCTCCACCAAGGGTGTTCCCCCTTGCGGATACTTTGCTCTGGGGACGAACGTTTTGTATGAGAGTTCAAAATTGCTAACACCTAAGAGCCGTTTGATTCGTACAATCAACTTCTTGGGGATAAAACTCCCATATCTAATAGATGTCTAGGATTGGGTTTATTTATAAATTTGTATATCTAATATCATGAACTGAAAATGAAATGAAAATGAAAGATGTACATTCATGTATTTGAGAACGCTGAGAAATGAAGATGATGACAACAAATTAAATTTGCTATTAAATTTTTTTTGAAAGAATTCGATTCAATGTATTTGAAATAACTAGATGTAATACATTTAAAATGACCATATACGCAAGGAGTAATTTGAAATGCATTTGTTTTCGTCATTTCTTTCTTATTCAAAAATGTTGACATACATGAATTGTAGTAGTCTAATATTACAATTTAATTTTATATGTCTAAATCCTTTGATTTGGAATCCTTCCATCCAAATGGGACCATTATTTCTATTTATTAAAAATTTCCAAGAGTGCACATACCAAACATGGGAATGCAATTTCATACATATTCTCAAACTTCTGAACTTTGAACCAGACACATAATGAATTGTTTAGGAATGAATGCCATGTCTATTTCCCTGGAGGCAAGAATGGAAGATTATCATTTCCATATCTGGAAATGCTGGGAAATGATCACTAGGAAAGACCTTTTATTTCTATTCCCATTTTTGGTTTGTATAGTATTAACATGTTTGGTATTAGATTCCTAAAAAAGTATTTACCAAACATGAGAATGACTTCTCATACCCATTTCCAACCTTATAAACCTTGGACCAAACATAGAGCATGACCATTGTGGGAGCTCATTGGAGTCAAATTGGGCTCCACAACCGGAGGAACCCAACAACAATGTTATGGAGCAAATGGGCTGTTTTTCGCGGGGAGTCATCCAACATTACTAATTCTAGAGTTGAAAATTCAAATTGACTCCATTCTTGACCCTTCTACATTGTTCGATCTGGATATTAAACAGCGACGATTCTTGGCCCATTGCCTTTACTTAATGGGCTTCTCTCTACGTTGTTCTATCAATATAACGGCGCTCTAAGACTGTGTTCGGTGACTAAGATTGAATTGGATTGAAAATAAAAATACTAATTTAATGATGTGTTTTGTACTACAGATGATTAAGGGGTTCGATTAATTGAAACGTGCTATTAGATGATTTAGTAGGATTAAACATAATCCAAGCCAACTTAATCCCAACCTTTCAATAGGATTCATAATTCTACTACATTAGGCCCTAGACATAATCTAATTCATGTTGTTTTTAAGCCACAAAACATTTGACTGAAATTATAAATCCTATCAAACTACATAATCAAACTCATCAAAACAGGTCCTAACGGAAATATTTTGGCCTTGGGCTAGCATGAACCAAGTGGGCCCATACCAAACAACAGTGGGGCCCGCGCACCCAGACGGGCCAGAGCTGCAGCTGGTGTTGGGAGGGCAGCAGCTAGCTATAGCTACCATCCAAAGTTAGGAACAAGAATGGAAGTTCACGTGCTGGTTGTTGTGCAAAATACAAGAACAAGAATACGAAATTGGCTCATACATTCGGCAGCAATATCCCATCACCTTCTTATTTTGTATCCACATTTCTCATTATTCTCGAGGTGATGTTGATTTTTTCCTCTTCTCACATCTTTTTCTTTTCCAACAATTAGGCAATCTAAGTTGTTGAATCTCCAAAATTCACAAAAAGTTTCATCTTCTTTTTGGGAGAAACGGTAGTTGTATGTATGTGTTGTATTTATCGACTGCATTGCTGATCATATATTTTTATGGAAGTGAAACATGCTCATGTTCTAAATAGATAAGTCATATCTCCAAGTGCATATATGGCACAAAATAATGGCATTGTCGTCAAGTCGGTAGATACTCCTCATAGTTTTACCATGTCCATGCCCAAATTGTTAGAGAGAGAGAGAGAGAGAGAGAGAGAGAGAGAGAGAGAGAGAGAGTTTTGTTAGGAGTCTCTTTCAATCTTGGGTGGTGTTATAATGAATTTTTGTTCTCCATGCCAGAGAATGAGACGTTGCCTGTCATAGGCAAGGATTATTTCACTATTTTGCATTTATAACACTTGTCTTCTCTCTCTCTCTCTCTCTCTCTCTCTCTCTCCCCCTCCTCCTCCTCCTCTCTTTTTCTCTCTCTTTTATCCATGCATCTTCCTCCTCACCCATCCATCCAGCCATCCATCTCTTACACTACACTGGAGTACTATACTATGCCATTACTTAAATCTAAAGCCACCCATGTCCTTTTCTCTTGACCTTTCACCCAACTCAAGGGCATTATCGATATTTCAACTCCATGCCAACACCAAAAATTACTTTCACCCTCTGTCATGTAAAAGTGTAACTAAATGAACCATATATAACACCCCACAACTGCCCCTTCCATTTACCCGTTGCACCCGAAAAAAAAAAGCAATGTCGAAAAACCAAGATTTGCAAGAATCCGTCACTTTCCCCGGAAAACCCTCCCCATTTGCGGCCGAATGCTGGTTCGATGACGCATGTATCCTCGACATGGACTACTTTGTCAAAACCCTAGCCGGCATCAAAGCCAAAGGCGTACGTCCCGACCTCATCGGCTCCATAATCACCCACTACGCCTCCAAATGGCTCCCGGACCTCTCCGGCGAAGCCCTCTCCGACCAAAGAAGCCTAATTAGCTTACAGTCCTCCCCGGAATCCGTCACCGCCTTGTGGATGCGAAAACGCTTCTTCGTCGAAACCCTAGTCGGCGTCCTCCCCCCGGAGAAGGACTCCATCCCATGCAACTTCCTCCTCCGCCTCCTACGCACCGCCAACATGGTTGCGGTGGAGGCCACGTACCGCGCCGAGCTAGAAAAGAGGATATCGTGGCAGCTGGACCAAGCCTTGTTGAAGGAGCTCATGATACCTTCTTTTAGTCACACGTGCAGTACTTTGCTGGACGTTGAGCTTGTGATTAGGTTGGTGAAGAGGTTTGCGAACTTGGATGAGACTGCTAAGAGCGGAGCTGCCATGGTCAAGGTGGCAAAGCTTGTGGATTGTTATCTTGCTGAAGCCGCCATGGATACATGTTTGAGCTTGAATGAGTTTGCGGCGCTTGCTGGAGCTGTGCCTAGCCACGCCCGTGCCACGGATGATGGGTTGTACAGAGCCATTGATACTTATCTCAAAGTAAGGTCTATGGTATTTAATGGATTTAATTGCCTAATTAGTTGACAATTAATTGGGATAAATGTGAATTAATTAGGTAAAAAAATGTTGCAGCATGAGTATACATATATTTTATCGAAAAGAACATGGTACATGAAGAAGACTTAAGAAACAATCTTAAGTCTTATCATGTCGGTCCTGAGGACATGGCTGTCTTGTCACCACCAGCAAAGATATCTGAGAAGGGTCTAGGTGGCTTCTCTCATAGGACTAGTAAATTGACATAAATGCCCTTTGTTTTGGGTAGGAAATGGCCGGCCCTAAAGCTTTCTGCATTTGGTTTTTCTGTTGTTCAGTAGTGAGCATGAGTAAAAAGGTGCATATTTGTATGATTGAATTATTTTTTAGGTCCAATTGAAGCATCCTACCCTTGACTCAGTATCAAGCACTTTTATATTCTAACATTTAGAGCTTTTAAGTGGAGGAAAATGTTCTATCACTAAATTGTTCGATATATTACATTGCAAAATTAGAAAGTGGATTCTTATTTGAATGTATGATCTAAATCAATAATCTGATGACATAATATAACATTTTATGTTATCAAAATTACCTATGGTATGCTACCTACAGAAACTTGGGTTGATGTGAAACATGGATATCTAATCTAACCATTATTCAAAAGTTTAATATATAACTTCCATCATGGCAGGCACATCCTGGAGTATCCAAGCAAGATCGAAAGAGTCTTTGTAGGCTAATCGACTGTCGAAAGCTCTCCCCAGAGGCATCTCTCCATGCTGCACAAAACGAACGCCTGCCTGTCCGGGCAGTGATCCAAGTCCTCTTCTCAGAGCAAAACAAGCTTCACAGGCAAATTGATTGGAGTGGCTCGTTCAGTACCAGCACCAGAAGCCCAAACCCCTTTCTTGACGCCCCAGCTCGGTGCTTCTCGAAGCGCGAAATGAATGCGATGCAAATGGAGATAAGGAAATTGAAAGAAGAGGTGCTCAGGCTTCAAAGCCAGTGCAGTTCCATGCAAGTGCAGGCAGAGAGGAAAGAGAAAAAGAAAGCTGGGATTTTCAAGTGGACTAGGAATTT